TTCTGGGATTCGAGTTCAATACTAAAAAATTTAACCATATAAATATTACAAAAATTAGTAAGCAACAACTTCAGCATGAAGTACATTTAATTGAGTTTCTACATAAACGTAAAAAGTATACTTTATCGTTTTATATATTCCGCCTACTTCGGGATATGAACATTATACAGAAATATATAATTTTATTGAAAGTAATGTAGTGCACTTATTTTTTCGGAGACTAATATTTCCTGCATATATAGGGTGAGTCATTAATAATGGTACACAGCTTAATGGCAGATTGTTAACGTCAAAATATAGCGATTGAGCCTTAATCAATTGTTGCTCCTTTTCGTTCTACACGGGGTGTTAAAGTTGAAAAAATATTTTCTATTTTTATCTATATTATAAGTACATAGGGACCGATTGTTTTGAAAATTTGTAGGTTTACGTTTTTTGAGGAGGCAAATACGAATATGCAAACAGTGTTTGAGTCACGTCTAGAGGGCGCTAGTTATACTGCCCTATCAATGTAAAAATATGTCTAAACTTTTTGTATTTTACAATTTTGAATTTTTTAATTACAAATTATTGAACTACGTTCTATTCTACATAAAAGGTATACTAGTTACAAATCGATAAACTAAACCGTTATCGAAATACAGACGTTTTAAGTTTTTGAGATTCGGCGGCCAATCATAGGTTTTAGTTTTTTTTGCCTACCAGTAATGCCTATCTAGAACAGAGAACTGATACTCATATTTCATTTTACACATCATGAACCATCTAGAAAAAAAAATTGTTGCAAGCGGTGGAATAAGTAACATTTTAATTTCAGATTTTTCTTAGGTGGCTCTTATTGCCCCGCGCTACTCTCGAGGTCAAGTTGTGTGCCATCACTTGGCTGCCCTATTATACTACGCCCACTACAATATTAGTTCAACTGATATTCAACGAAAGTGGGATACCACAGTTGCAAAATTAAATGCGGAAGATCCTGTTCATACCGTCGAAGAAATATATGTTTCTAAACTAAGGTACTTGGAATAGATTGGTTAAAAGCTGAGGAAGCTATAATAGAACATAGACAGGGAGGAGTATGTTTTGGTATCGAGAAAAGGCAAGTAGTGTATTGGCATCTGACCCGACACGAACCTCAATTCTTCCCAGCAATATTCCAGGAGGATCCTCCAGCCTTGTATGTAAATCGATTTGTTCAAGTCTAACTTGACGACATTATAATTTACTCAGAAACAAGAGAAGAACATGTAAACCACGTAAGACTAGTCCTAGAACATTTGAGATGTCTTGGCTTGAATGTGCCATAAAGAAATGCAAGAGTTTCATAATCCCACATCGCAAAAAGAATTACAAAAATTCTTGGGAATCGCAAATTGGCTCCGTGAATACGTTCTGAATTTCTCACAAATAACCGTGCCGATGCCGAACCCGTTGGGAAAACGCAAATTCCAATGGAATCCTGATGCAGAAGAAGCTTTTCAATACCTTAAACGAGTTTTAATAAATCCTTTAAAACTTCATCGTCCAGATCCAGAAAAAAGTTTCATACTACAGACTGACGCTAGTTTGGTGGGAATGGAAGCAGTGCTCTACCAAGAAGAAATCAAAGGAGAAAGGCCAGTGAGTTTGTGCGCAAGCGCAAAATTTTCAAAAACAAACTAAATACCACATCAACGAGCTAGAAGTGTTAGCTGTTGTGTGGGCATGTAGAAAGTATAGAGCTTTGCTAGAAGAGAGAGAATTTTTATTGAGGACAGACGACAGACAGTCAAGCCCTCTTCTGGCTAAATAAATATAGAGAAGAATGTGCGAAATGCACCCGTTATACATTACTTCTACAGGAATTCAAGTTTCGAGAGGAACACTGTTGAGGACAAGGTAATAACTTACCGGACTTCCTTAGTCGTAATCCTAGTGAAGAAATGGTGATGTCCTTGAATGAGGAAAAGATTAGTCCCCTACACCAAAAACAAGAAAAACAAGAAAAAAAAACAATTAGTATTACAAAACTCGTATCAAATTCTAGAACCAGATAAGCAAGTGAAATCGAAACATATTTAATGAATGATTTTATTGTGTTTATTTATATAAAATATCTATTTATTTATGCAAAATTATAGTGCAGTTCGGGAGTTTTATGGAGATAATGCAAATGGCTATGTGGAATGTGTGTGGAACACCACCTAAATTATGTTGTATCTATTATAATCAGGAAATTAATAATAACTATCAAAAATACTCTTAATTGATAGACCGCTGTCACTAGTGTCACTTTTGTTTAAAAAAACAGGAAACAGGGCAACAGGGTTTGACTGACAATTTTGATATATTTTCTTCTTCTTCAATTGCCCCTTATGACGTCAGACTAGTTTTTAAGTAACGCAAACATTCATAAATGATTTCTACCACTAATTTGTCATATATTTAAAATTTTACTATACAGGCAGGTTTTATATAAAATCTTTGTATCAACAACAATTCATATATGATTTGTTTTTATAGTCAACAACCCTATTGGGGTTAGTCCCAGCGTAGCTTTGTTGGGCCCACCAATATCAAAAACAGGGCCACGATTCTTCAATGTGAACAAATTTTATTTACTGGCGAAATGTGTAGATAAAAAATATTTTTTCGATGTTCTATTTTGGTTTTAGTTATTAATGAGATTTTGAGTTTATGTATATGAAGTTTTCCACAGTAATTAATAGTTACATATTTTTTTAAATATATTTTTGTACACACTAGTCATAATGTTCAAAGTAATAGCCAAAATTATGTTACTGATCTGTGATCAAGTGAAATGAAACCTTCCTGAAATATCGCGGTTTGAATTTCGAATTTCAATATAATTTACCACTGTTACCCAGTTACGATATATTTCTGTTACGATCGGTGATATCGGTATTCGTCAAACTTTATTTTTACTTTGACGTTTAACAGAAATCATAAAGTGTCGTCGTAAAGCAAAATCACAAGAAAATAGAAATAGAGCGTAGTAAAAATCTTTAAACTGGTTGTAAATTCGAATAATTTCCATCTTCCGTCATTAATCTATAGCGAAAACTGAAGTTACCGAATTATGGAATCGGAATCAGATTCTGAAAATACCACGCCTCCACCGAAAAAACTTAGATATAAATGTTACAAACGAAAATATACGTTGCAATGTGTGATGCGCATGAGTGCTAATCGTGGTAGTGAGGAATAAGTGCGGGAGTTTTTGTGTTATGAAATATTTCAGAATTAACAAATCAGCAACCTCTTTAATTCTGGTAATATTAAATATAGAGCAGACGAACTATGGAAGTCGTAGAATAAACTTGTTGAAAAATCAGATGGTGTTTAAATATATTAATTAATTAATTCGTTTCATAGTACGTTCGACCATTCAATTGATCAATCTAAAAAAAATTTTGGGAACTAGAAGAAGTACCAGATTTTAAGACTTCTTCTTCGGATCTTTGCGAAAAATTGTTTGTAGAAAATCATTTTCGTAATCGATCTAGTCGTTACATTGTTACTATTCCCTTTAAAGACATAGAAATATAGCTCTTCGCCGTTTCTTTGCTTGGAAAATCGTTTTCTTCATAATCCATCTTTATAATATGCTCTATTCAAAATTCATGAGAGATTACTTAGTCGGCACATGGTACAAATACTTCTTATCTTGGTTCGGAACCAAATTATTACATTCCTCACCATTGTATATTTAAACCTAAGTAACACAACTAAGAGTTGTGTTTGATGCTTCTTGTAAATCTTATCAATAAAACTCTTCTAGTAGGTCCTAAGTTGCAAAAGAACATTATCTTGTTAAATTTTCGACTACATTGTTTCATCTTCACTGCTGACATTAAGCAAATGTATCATCAGATTCTAATATACCGCGGATTATCAAAGAATATGGAGATTCGCTCCAACAGATCCTATCAAAGACTTTTGGTTTAAAACTGTTACTAATGGGGTCACTTCAGATCCTTTTCTCGCTCTTCGTACCCTACGATGAAGCAAAGCCATTTTCTAATGCATCAAAAGTTCTTTTGTCAGATATGTTGATGACTTAGTAACTGGTTCCGATTCACTAGAAGCAGCTTTACATTTTTAAAAGTATACACATACTATTATTGGCTACTGGAGGTTTCTGGCATCGCAAATGGACAAGCAATAATCCATTACTTCTAGAATCGATTCCCTATGACCGTCGTTACGAACATATTTCATTTGATGATTCTAATAGTTTCGGTTTAAAAGTTTTGGGATTAAAATGGATTCCATTAAGGGCCGGTTTCACCAAGCCTTGCTAAATATTCATTAATCAGTTGTTAACTAATTATTCGTTAATATTTAACAGTTGATTAAATGTATGAGTGTTTCACCAACCATTTTTAATAAACCGTTAGTTAATCATTGATAATATTTGGCAACATTGAATAGTTCTAGTGTTTTCCACTTTATTTTGTTACCGATCTGTTATTTTTAAACTGTTTATCTAATGTTCTATTGCTCAGTTACGATATCGTTGATTTAACACAAAACATAACCTTAAATGTGATACTTGTAGTGCTATGTTTTAAACATAACAATATTTGGTATTGAAAATTTGTAGTTAATTAAGTAAGTTGATAAGTCATAATGGATTCAAAAAGGAAGCGAGAGAGATGTAGCAATTTCTCTACTTTCGAAAAAGAATTGTTTTTGAATATATTGGCTACACCCGAAGTTAAAAATATAATAGAGAATAAAAAGACAGACGGGGTGACAATTAGAAAAAAGGAAGAAATGTGGCAAAAGGTAACATGTATGTTTAACTGCAATGCTCAAGTGCAGAAACGAGACATGGGTCACTTAAAAAGGTAAATTTATATAATGTACAGGTACTAACATGGTTTGCATGTTTTATATTTCTTATGTAATTTGACAGAATTTGTACAGTTTTCAATATTTTTTAGATTATATGATAATTTGAAAAGAACTTCTAAAAAAAAATATGCAACAGATAAAAAATCACGATTTCTAACTGGTGGTGGAGAATTCATAAAAACAATGGATGACATCGACGAAAAAGTATTATCCATTGTTCAACCACAAATGGAACCACTAAAAAATATTTACGATAGTGACAGCAAGTTTGAAGGTAATTTACGTAGTATTTTTTTAATAGTTGTACAATATCTCTTTGGCCAGTAACGTTTTACTCAAATAAATAGGTACATAATATGTATATATTATATGATAACATTATTACAGATAATGAGCCTTCAGTGCAAATAGAGAAACAAATAGAAAATCCTAGTTCATCAGGTGAGTTTAATATTCGGTTGTATAAAGCAACTAAATTTAAATATATTCATTAAATTTGAATAAATTACATCTTGTATATGGCAGAAATACTTATTGCATAATTGTGATCTGTTGGCATAATTAAAACAATTATGCTATTTTTGTAAAACGTAAACAAATGTAAGTTTTAAATATCTTCAACATAAGCTTTTTAGCTTGACTTAGTAATGAATATTGCTGTTTGTAGCTTTCGAGGATAATCTGGAGTATATATATATTGTGTCTGATGATGGCCATGAAAATTTTGCAAGCACTTCTGGTATGTTTAAAAGAATAAATAAATAATGTGTTTACTATTATATGGTGTTTTCAGCTNATTTATTGAAAAGTAACCTTTTCTGTTTCTAAATATTTCACCCATATTACCTCCAGGTGATAGTATTGGTATGTGGGTACAATCCAAAGCTCCAATAACTCCAGGAAATCGTCCTAATTCAAAAAATTTTTTTGCGACAGTTCCCAATTCTTCATTTTGTGGAAACTCTATATAAGATTCTCGTAAGGAAGCTATTGCTTCTGAAACTTTTTTGACACAACGGCACACAGTTGCCTTTGAAATTCCATGTACATCACCCATAACTGTTTGGAACGATCCGGTAGCATAAAACCTCAGAGCTATCAACAATTGTTGGATAGGAGTCAATGGAAAGTTTCTATCTGTTGCATATTCTAATGCAGGCTCAATTTCTTCTAAAACTTTTATTACTACTTTTTTGGACAGGCGATATCTTTCTAGAAATTTTCCATCGTCCAGTTCTTCAAAAATATTTTTCCTTATGTTGCCATTAATTTGGACCTCGTTCTCTAATAATTCCAAATACAATAATTCGACGTCAAAATCTCCCATCTTAATAATAATTACATGTAACTAATAATTAAGTACTTTCAACAATTTTTAGGTTATTTTCTAATCGTTCATTAAAATATTAATCGCTGAAATTTCGTTCCTTAATTTAACGAAGCTTTAACAATTCCTTATATCTTAACGACTATTGGTGAAACTGTCATATTCTTAATGGTCCCTTTAACTGTATTTTAACGGATCATTAAACTTTAATGAAGATTGGTGAAACCGGCCCTAACTGACCAATTCTCCTACAATGTAAAACCCTTAGAAAGATCGTGTACTAAACGTACAATATTATCCGAATTGGCACATATCTTTGATTCTTTTGGACTTTTAGCTCCAGTATCGTTTTTTGATAAATATCTTATCTAGTATTTATGGACTTTAGGACTACAATGGGATCAATCACCTCCTAGTGACATAATAAAAAGCTGGAATCTGTACAAACGAGAGCCTCACCATCTCTCCTCGTGGCACATATCTCGTTAAATTCCACAGCTATCCTCGCAAGAAATTACATGATTTTAGGAGATTTCACAAAAAATGTAGATAACTTAAAAACTAGACGAGATAAGTATAGGAAACCCTGACACCATTCGAAAGAGAATAAAATTGTATATCAGAATTTAGAAAAACATACAAGGTGTTCCATTTAAAATAAGCAAGTTTATGGCGACTTCCGGTATAACCGGAAGTGGTGCGTGGACGCCATTATTTTAGTTGAGAAGGGCATGCCCGAAAACCCGGTATGCCAAATTTTCAAAATTCAAATCGAAGTAGTCTCTGAAATCATTCTAATGGGCCGTCACCGTGAGACACCCTGTATTAAGAACGATAGTATATATATCTGTATCACCATGAATGAAAGTAACTATGATTTTATGGTTTGATTTGAAAAAGGATTTAAAATATTGTAAAATTTTTAGAAAATCTGAGACCTCATCGATGTCATCATTTGATATTTGATGACGTTTTAATGAGAATGATATTAGGGTATTCTTAAGACTGATAATGGTAAATAAATTTAGTGTGTCAAGTTTGTTGTCGATAGAATTACCTACACGCTATTAGTTTTTTTTGAATACTATCTTGATCACAAATACATATGGTCCGTACAATATTTGTTAAGATAGAATTCCAAGAAGCCCCTGCGTCACTTGGAATTACCCGCATTCGACACCCGCGGTGGAAAAATATTGGCGAAAAATTTCAAGCCACGCCGCTGTCGGTGTAAATTGTTACAGTAATTCAGATAACAGAACTTTATTGGCTTATTCTTTTTTTGGAATTTTATCTCGACAAATATTGCAGGAACTATATTTTACAAACTTAAATAAAACTTGATAACAATAACTGAATAAAACTAACAATATCAGTCGAGGAAAAAAGAAGTAAATCAATTTAATTACCTTATAAACGTATTCGGCTTTGAAAAGCCTGCACTGCGAAAAATTTGGAATGGGAACGTTCATCGGTAACATAACGTTAAAAGTGTAAGTATGCTCTCCGTGAGCTCCTAGGCCAACTTCGTTTACATCCACAAGAATATTATCTATCTCTTTCTCTTCTTTGTTTGGTTCATTCACTAGACATATAATTCTCTAGGAGTAAAAATTTAAATGAGATTACAATTTTATGCGATGTAATGTATAAAATTACCTGTTTCATTTCAAAACCAACTCCTTCAACGTTAGTATTCGACATATTAGTTAACCGAGCTGTGACATTTATAGTTTCTCCAGGAACAAGAGTCCTCTTGGGTAGGTCAACATCCAAAGATATAGGCCCTTGAGCGCAGCACCAGCAGCAAAGAGTTTTATCGTCGGAATATGAACTGGGCGCCTAAAATTGTTTTTTTTTTCATGAATTGTAAAACTATTTTATTTAGTAATATACCAGTAGCTCTGGTCTCCTCAGAAGATTCAGATCAACAGGAGCTACAACTACAAATATGACTTGGTCTTCATAATCTAAGGCCATTGGTCGGTCTACAACAGCTACGAGCTTATATGAAATAGATCCGTATTCACAGTGGTAAGTACCAGGCAAATTGTTGGGTAAGTTAAGAGTAAATGGATAAATGTGCTGCCCAGTGGATAGTGAAGTTGTTCCAGATACTAAATTAATAAAAATAATACATAAATATCTGGAGAAATTTTGAAGCAGAATATTTTAACTTAGATGACTGTTTCCGAGGCTGACTTTTTATTAAATGTAACTAGGAACATATTAGTAGATTGTATGCGTGGTTTTTGGGTGAATTAATTCAAAATATCATTAAACAGCTTCTCTTTATGATCCTATCGCCCTAGTCAAAATTCTATTTAAAGATGGCATTAATGCCGAACTGCACAATTTTTTGCACGTGGCTAGATTAGGAAAAAAAATTGTTCTGCACGGGAGCGGACCGGGAAAATTCAGGAAATAACCGGAAAACTGCAGAAAAACTTATTTCGTAAAACTTGAGACGTATTGAGAATTTCACAAACATGTAATAGATCAAAGTTGTAGAGCATAAAATTCTCTACAAAAAAAATTGCTATAGATTTTTTCGTACAGTGCGTTATTTAGGAGATATTTAGGGATTTATATACCTACCTAAAGTAACGATTTTTATGCAAATCATCTAGAAAAACACGTGTTTCAAATCTGCGCTGCACTACTCTTTCGTTGCAAAAAAACTTATTTCGTGAATAACTTGAAAAACATTAGGAATTTCACAAACATGCAAAGGAACAAAGTTATCAGATCTGTCTTATTGTCAAAATTGATGACAGTACTTCAGGTGACATTGAATTACTCATACCTTTTCACATCGGAAAATGGTTGCCCAAATATCCAGGTAGAAAACCAGTATAATAGATGGAAAGAGCAGGTTCTGAGCTACAATTTGCTATAGTATTAATGCTGTATTCTTCTCCGGTAATCTGTATTGCGGGTGTTTTCATTCCTGCTGCTTTTTTCGGGTGGTTCTCAAACTTTTGAAAATATTAAATGAAAATAGAGTTTCATGATTTTTAATAAATCCATATGCTATACAGGATGTCCCGTTCATGTTTCAAAAAACTGAGACGCAATACTTAGATGTTTTCTTCGGTCTGGATGAAAAATAGTGGAACCAGCTCTTATAGCATAAAGCTATGAATAAAATAAATCACAGGCAAATTTTTGCCGGGATCGATTTATACAAAACGCATGTAATATTACGGTTGATTTTATATTACTATATATTTGTCCAATTTGGTTTAGTATGATTGGTTGTCCCAATAACTTTGTAAAAAAGCGCAAAGTTCGACTACCAACTAAGCTCTACTCGCGATGATCTCACATAGTTTTCTTAAAGAAAAAAATTATGTTTCCCTGTAAAATAGTACATAGAAGGAACGTTTGAAGTTTCATGCATTTTCATCAAGAAACGAAAGAGTAGTCGCACATTTAGTGCAGTGCCGCATTGACATACGTGTTTTTCTGGCTGATTTGCATAAGAATCCCTAAATATTTCCTAAATAACGCACTGTACAAAAAAATTCACTAGAAATCTTTTTTATAGAGAATTTTATGCTCTATAACTTTGATCCTTTGAATGTTTGTGAAATTTTCAACACTTTTCAAGTTATTCCAGAAGTAATTTTTTTTTAATTTACCAANTATACAGGGTGTTTCAGTTTGATATGTCACAAACACGTGAGCATATTTTGGGAATAAAAATAAGAATAAAAGTCTGGTAAACTTTTGTTCTAACTTCCTTCGTTATGAAGATACAGGGGGTTGAATTTTTTCTATAAATTAAAATTTTCTTTCATAACTTTTAAACGGATTAAGATATTGTTATCAAATTTGGGGTACTGTGTAAGCCGAGGATCTTGCATTTGCTGCCAAAATATGGCTCTTTCAAATTAAGCAGTGGCGTAGATACAGGGTGTCTGTCACTTTGGGCAAAATAAATATGTGACGCCACTGGTTAAATTAAAAAAGTGATCATTTCATAATTTTACTTCCAATAAAAATGGTCTCTTTCATTTTCTTCGTGTCTCTCATAGTTTAGTCACAAATTGAAATGTTCGGTGAAAAAGTGCGTATTTGGGGCGCCAAGAATTGAATTATCTAAGCCATAAGATAACAGCTACCCACAATGAAGCACAGAAAAAACATATGGAGAAAATTCGAGATTTCCCTAATCCACAGTCCCAAAAAGAGCTACAGAAATTCTTAGGTATCGCAAATTGGCTCAGAGAGTAGGTATCTGGAAAACTTCTCAAGGATAGCGATGCCCATCTATCCCCATGTCTAAAGACATAACGTTATCGGTTCGCGTGGGAGTCGGTCGCCCACCGACATGCGCAGCGTCCATTCGAGAGCGAACCACGGCGGTAGAAGAGGAGAAATTAAAAAAAAAAGCTTCGATGGACCGAGATCGAAGACATGGCGCCTGAGCAAGGACCGCGAAAGTTCAAGAGGAGACGTCGACTACAGCCTACAGGGACTNTAGTTGAGAAGGGCATGCCCGAAAACCCGGTATGCCAAATTTTCAAAATTCAAATCGAAGTAGTCTGAAATAATTCTAATGGACCGTCAAAAATAGATATCTTTGATCTTCAGCAAGCTTTCGTTGTTTTGATTAAATATTCGCAACATAAAACTTTTAAGAATAACATTGACAAGCTATTAAAAAATAAATTGACTTCTAAATTTCTTCGCAAATTAAATCATTTCTAATTGTTATCGATGCTTTCGTCACAATTCTAATGTCCATTTGTATCGTTCCAGTTCTAATCAATGATTAGTTAGTCATCGATTAATTTTTAATCAACGTTTATATTTGTTTGAGTTGCAGCGTCAAAACTTAAACAATGTTTAGTTAAACGGAGAAAATGCTTGACAACAGTGCAATTTTTGACCATTTGCTAACTTCAGGATCGTAAAATTTTGTTTACTACCGTCAACTAACACCAAGAACTAACCCTATTTTTAGTATTTTGACTTGGTTTTTGTGGGGAAACGTACTTACTTTGATAGTTTTAAATGGAAATGGCTTCTGAAGAGAAAAAAAGACAAAGGTGTATTAGTTTTTCTGGTGAGGAAAAGCTATTTGTAGCAAATATTTGTGTAAAATATAAACATCCTAGAAAATAAAAAAACCGATCACATATCGGCCACGGAAAAAACAAATCGTGGGAGAAAATTACGTTTGAAGTTAACACAGTGCAGGGATAAATACTACCTACAGGAGCCCAGATGTGTTAAGAAGATTTTACGAAAATCGTAAAAGGGAAGTACGAAAAATTGCTGCACAGGAAAAAAAAAAGAAATTTATTCTACTGGAGGGGGACCAACCATAAAAATACAGAAAGATGCATGTCATGACATAATTTTGTCGATTATGAATTCCAAAATCGCCATGTTGGATAACGCCTAGATACAAAATTTCGTGACGCTATCTTAAAAAACAAATGAGTTAAACGAAAAATAGAAAATCGATATTTTCACTTCACTTTCACTTTCACTTTTTTCGAGATATCTCAGAAACTATTGAAGATATCTTGGATCTGTTTTCACCAAAACACTCGCCCCGTAGTTGTACAACTGACAACCCTTTAAATAGTTCTAACCCTGTACCCACAATGAAGCACAGAAAAAGCATATGGAGAAAATTCGAGATTTCCCTAATCCACAGTCCCAAAAAGAGCTACAGAAATTCTTAGGTATCGCAAATTGGCTCAGAGAGTAGGTATCTGGAAAACTTCTCAAGAATAGCGATGCCCATCTATCCCCATGTCTAAAGACATAACGTTATCGGTTCGCGTGGGAGTCGGTCGCCCACCGACATGCGCAGCGTCCATTCGAGAGCGAACCACGGCGGTAGAAGAGGAGAAATTAAAAAAAAAGCTTCGATGGACCGAGATCGAAGACATGGCGCCTGAGCAAGGACCGCGAAAGTTCAAGAGGTGACGTCGACTACAGCCTACAGGGACTGGAACAAAATGCTAGAAAGCAGTTGGCTTTCGCAGATGTCCGGAGAGACATCAACCCCGAACCAGTCAGTGGACTTGGTGGACGGAAATGCCAAGATGGAGGATCGTGGACAGCACGGGCGTGCACGACACCCAGGCTGCCGCGTATCCTACCTCATCGCAACCGGCACCAAGAAGAATGAGGCCAGTGGAAGACGAAATATCTCGTAATCACATGCATCAAGCGATGTTATTCGCCTTGACCACGCTGATCGAATAGACAGATTTGCTGCAAAAAGCGCAACATCTTACGTTACCGGAATTTGAGTTCCACGGGTATGAGGATGAGGATCCTAAGACATACCCAGACAAACTGGAAGCTCATTTCCGCAAAACGGGGACGAGCGCAGAGCAGAGAACGAGGATGGTGCGAAGAACCAACGATGGATAAACAAGCAACCGATGAACATCACCTACGATCAATTCGAAAGCAAGTTTGTAGAAGAATTCGACGGCGTACCGGTGCTCTGCGACCGCACGTGGAAGTTGTACGCCGAGGGGAGGGCCAGGGAGCAAGGGAGATAGTGTCGGCCTCTGTAGCGTCCAACGTATGGCTGTTTAATCGACTTTTCTTTATGCATTGCACAATCGGACGTCGCGGTAGAGAACCTATTTTTCGTCTATATTTTTATAGGAGTTCAAGGTTAGATTAGGAAAAATAGGAGGTCTAATCTACTCTAGAGCTAGAGAGTTTTTACAAACAAGGTAATTTTGTGCTTGTAATTAAATTCACTTAGGATTAACAGGTTTTTTGTTTTATTTTAGAAGCGTGGCGGTCTTATGATAAGATAGTAAATCCTAATAAATGGAAATATCATCTCAAAATTCTCAAAGCGGCGCAAAATATATTAATCATCCTTCAAAATGTAATGACCAAAATTCTGTCTGGAGTCGTTTCTTAATAGCTACAAACAGCAAAATGCAAATTTTGTTCTAATATACTCATGACTAAAGGCGGATCCAGAAAGGGTTTACATAAGCATCTTGAACTGCACACAAATAAAAGTATTAAAGACAAAAACACGAAAATTCCTGAAAGTCATCAAACTAAAACTATTAGTGATAATGAGCGGAATGAAGATGGAGTAGATGGACCTTCT